GCGGTTCGGATCAGCCGACGAACGTCGTATGGCGTTGCTTTGGGTGGTCTTCCAGTGCGTTTATTATCATTGTGTGTATTGGGATCTCTTAAGAACGATGCAATGGCTGTACGTGATCGACCTATAAGTCGTTCGATCTCCTTTTGGCTTTTTCCGGCAGAGTTCAGGGCCAAAACCATGCCTTGCTCTTCCTCGGTGAGTTTCGGTTCCGCTGGCATGCTATAATGACATTTGAAATGAACTAAGGGCGGGAAATTGATTTACTTAGTTGCTAGAACAAGAAAAACGTGGTTTTTTGTCATGAAAATGCTTCAAATCGCACTGACGGCGGAGTGCCAAGTGGTTTTTCTGATTTGGCGCCTTTTTTAAATAGCGTCGTAGATGTGCCTTGCTTGCGCAGTGTACGCATGTCCCGCGTTCGAGCCTTGGAACAAGCCGTTGTGATGTGGTCCCGTTGTGATTCCCAGCGCAGGATCTGCTTCCAGACTGTAGTGCGCTTGGCTCCAGCGACACCGGGGAAGAATGTGTCGATGGCGGACTCCATGGAATGTTCTTTGCGCCAGTTGATTATACGGAGCTTTTTCTCGTAGGTATGGTAGAGGTTTTTGTGCTTCTTGGGCATGCGCTTGATTTGTTTGATACTAGGGCGCCCGGTGCGTCCGCCATCGAGCTGAGTTGGCGCCATCATTGAAACTAGCCGCCTTTCTGCAAATCAATGTGAACTTATAAATTTTCATGGGTATAGGTTACAAACGAGTATTGCAGAAAATAATATATTGATTGAATAAGTATTTACAGGTTTTTTCCCTTCGCAACAGACATGTCAAGTACGGTAGTGATGTTTCGCAACTCAAACGTCATCAAGATGTCTTCTCATGGTCTTCATGGAGCTTAAACGACTTCGAATTCATAGCATTATTCTTCTAATATGCTTGTCGGTCTCCATTTTATGGTGGTCTTATACTTATTGCCAGCACTAATACAGGTCCCCCCACACTACGGGAAGTTTGACTGCGCCAACATCGCGACTATCTATTGCGATACGGCATACCCCCCTGGTTGCGTCGAGGGCTACGATGCACATTCATCACGATCAAGGGCTCTATCGAATGGAGGGCGGGGGCTATCTGCAACTTGTTGCCCGCCT